ATGGCAGGCTGAGGATGCTGCCCTGGTTTGTAGCATTATTTACATTTAGGAGGCTACTGGGGCTAAAAGACATCTCAAATTCTGCATCTTCCACAAGTAACCCAGGTTCCCAGACAGAGAAAACATGGTATAACAAAAAGCAGAAGAACCCTCTAATGAACTGTTTTACAGAGCATTGATTTACTTTTTTCCAAGCGACGGCCCTCAGATTTTTCTGCAGAGCTGTTGTACTGCCAGCATATGATTTGCTCTACTTGCCCTTTTGGTTTTAATGTCCCATTAATAATACACCTTGTATTTACTGCAGTTTGTGTTACTGTTTCACTGTCACTTCTTGACCACTCGTTATTCTCTCTGTAGTGCCAGGCAAGGCTCCAAAACCCAAACACCGGCAGCAGTGTTACTACAGACCAAGCCACAGCCCCACCAGACTCAAGGCAGCTCCACTGAGGGGGATCATTTATCTTCCCAGAGCTGGCAGGGCACACTGCACCTAGGAAAACGGGAACAGCTCTACATCCTCTCCATCAATAAATCAGACCTAAAACTTTTCCAGGGCAATTTGGACAGTCAGCTCTTTTGAGGGATCTATGCCAGAAAACTGTAAAACATCATTAATGAGCAGCTTGCTTAATCCTGGCTCTGTGGCACTCTCTGTAACAGAAGCAGGAACAGGCTGTTGGGCTGGCCCTGGCTGACGACTCAGCTCAGGCCTCCATGGAGGATGTGCTAAGGATGCCTCCCTGATCAACTCTGCACTCCCTGATCAACTTCGCATTCTGAAAACAGCTGCTGAGCTGCCCCTTGACCCTGCAGCCAGCAGAGCTCTAGAAGTACCTTCATTTCCCACCCTACAGCCCTCTGAGCACCCCTGTATGCCTTCAGCTCAGCATCCAGGCTTGGACGTTGCAGTACTGGTGTCCACTTCCCACTGGGAGCATCCTCAGGCCTCACCAAACCTGTACTGCACTGTAAATCAGAATGGATATAGAAAGGCAAGGCTGAAGGAGCTGGGTGGTTGCTTCACTAGGGGGTCACAGTGCTCACAGAGCTTCATAACCCTCTTTTCCCTGAGGACTTAGAACACTTGTCTTTCCCAACACAGGAAAATGCCTTAAATTCTGAAAAAGAGCTGGATGAAATACTGTTTTGAGGCAGGATTTCTCTCTACCCTGCTGGATGAGGCTGCACAAACACTAGGAGAAAGGTTTCTCTGGTCTTCCAAGTAAGCCCTAGTTTCCCCTCCCTTCCCCTGGGATCAGAGCTGACCTCCTCCTGCCCTTGTCTCTGTGAACAGCATGTTACTTCCAGTAGCAGCAAGGAGTTTCAGAGCAGGAAAACTGAAGTTTTCCTCTCCTGGGCTGGCAGTTAGTGCACTCAGGAGGTGTGTTTGAAGCCCCTCACGGCACTGCAGAGAGCCCAAAGCAGGTCTCCTGTGCCCTCAGTGACTGCCCTCAGCACTGGGCTCACGGGCACGACTGGCCAGGGGTCACTGCCTCTTCCCTGGGTGCACTGTCAAAGAAGTCACATTTGCTCTCTTTTAGTTACATTATCTACAAAACAAAACAAAACTCAGGGGTCTCCAGGGTGAAGCATCATCCACGCAACATGAACAGCAAGGTAAATCAGGGTCTGAGGATGTACAAAATTCCCGCTGTTCCCTTCAGGCTGAGGTAGCTGGTTGCCATGCAGGAAGCTGTGGGATGCAGATCTCATTCTCCCCCACCTCATACCAGTCATCTACACACCCCTAGACCCCAGCCTTCACGTGCACCCCAGAGATGAACACTGCCATGTTCAGCACCGAAACTTCCAGATTGCATTTTGGATCTCAGCCCTCATGGGTGATGCTCACAAGTTCTCTCATCTGACCTAACCCCAGAGAAAGGTTTTTGTCTTGGCTTGATCCACCTGCTGCCAGACAGATCCAGGAGCATGATCTGGTCACCACAATCTGACTTTGTGGGAAGTGTCACTGAGGTCTCACATGCCCTCCCACTTGCCAAATTCCTCAGCAGATGAGGTCGCTTCCAGATTCCAGTACTTACTGGCAAACTTCAAGTGGTTTGTCCAGAAAGGCTCCAAATGATTAAAGGTCTCTTGGACCCGTGTTGTGGCCACTGCCTGGTTACTGACCTACACAAGCATAGCAACATGGGAACCAGCAATCTGGGAAAACAAACATTTCTACTCCCTGTCTTCTAATATTTAGCTTTGCTTTGGAGGCGAAAGAAGAACTAATTCCTACTTGTATCCATTCTCATTGCCCAATTTCAGATTTTTTTTATCATTTACTGACAAAAACACGCCTTCCCTTATGATTTATTAAGCTTGAACATAGCTCACATTCCAACTGCTGTGTGAATAAAATGTGATTCACCATTACCAACACACTGAAAATATTTGCTATCCCTGTCTTACAGATCACAAATCTGGTTCAGAAGTGGGTGTTTTGTACTGTAGAATCATAGAATGGTTTGGGTTGGAAGGAACCTTAAAAATTATCTAGTTCCAACCCCTTGCCATGGGCAGGGACACCTTCCACTAGACCAGGTTGCTCAAAGCTCCATCCAACCTGGCCTTGAACACTTCCAGGGATGGGGCAGCCTCTCTGAGTAACTTGGTCCAGTCTCATCACCCTCACAGTAAAGAATTTATTCCTAACATCTAATCTAAATCTCTTCTCTTTTAATTCAAAACTTTTTCCCCTTGTCCTATCACTATTTGCCTTGTGTAAAAAGTCACTGTCCCTCTTTTATAAGTCCCCTTTAAGTAACAGACAGATTGTTGTTATTAATGGAGATAAAGAAAGTGCAGCAGACAGTTAAGAGAAGGGATGGTTACCAGGGAAGAAGCATTAAGAGCGTGGCCAGTGCCAGCACAGCACCTGACTTCTAAACCATCTGCAAATGGAAATGCTGCAGACATACACAAACTAGAGGAAACCACCTCAAGATTTGACTGTTCAGTGTTAGTTTTGCATTATTTCTAACAGTTTTCAAAATAACATCAAAAGTATTTGAAGAAAGACTTGTAAATAGTGTGGAATCGAAATGAACCTGCAGAAAGCAGCCAAAAAGAGCATGAAGAGTTTTCAGGGCCATCTGATGTGTTTCTTCACTTCTGACTAGTTGAGCTTGGTCTGCCATCGGAGAGAACCAGGAGGTTTCCTCAGCAAAAAACCACACTAAAATCTTTATTCAGAGCAGTAAGATACTTACTAGAAAAAAAAAAAAGGAAGTCCTAGTTATTAATTTCCACCTTAAAATATTTGCAGAGCTCCATTCTCACCATCCAAAGGGGTTTTCTAGCCCATTCTTCTGGGCTAGAAATTATTATCTCAATTATTATCTCCTCCTCTCTACAAAATCACATTACTGCCCACTCTTTGGGGTCCTTTATGCCAAAACTGACTCCCATTTGTCTTTTTTACATAATGACAAAGCAGCAAGAGCCCCATCCATTACTGCAGACTTCTCCCAGACCCTGCTTGAGGGTATGTAGCTCACACTTCCTCACAAAACACTGTACAGTGACAGAAATCAGTGCAAGGAGAAGAAATTCACTTTAAAATAGAAGATCTAGATGCACAGAGGTTCATGGCACATGAAAAGAAAGAGAAGTCTTCTAGACACAGGGAGCAGGACTTTTTTCTTCTTCAATTTTCTGCACACAAGTGAATTTTTAGCAAATCAAAACTTCTGCCTCAGAAAGGGCAGTTTAGATCTAGATTCCCAAGTCAACCTGCTCACACTAGGGATTAAGAGCAATTGCTACCTCAGCTGCTTCTCCTTCACAGTATAAACTAAGCCCATTTATATGCCAAAACACCTGCCTTTCTCCAGCCTGAAAGGCATGGACTTTCATCTGAGGTCGTGTCTCTCCCCTATCACTTCTGTCCATGAACAGGAAAAGCCACCTACTTCTTTTTCCTGGCTAAGATCTGAATTGTGTTCAGGACTTTCCTACCATGCCAATTCTTTCAGTACAATCAGAATTGGGTTTTGGATCCTGACCTGTGCCAAAATTTTAAAGGCAACTCAACACAGAAAGGGTAGGTTGGCTCATCCTGCTGCAGCCTGAGCATATTTTCCAAATGGCTCTACTTAAAGAATCATCAGTATTAGAGAACCTGGGAGCAGGAGTGACTAACCACCTACTCAGATGAATGAGTTATTTAGGTCAAACTCTTCTGAGAACTAAAGGATGCCACATCTCCAGATAGGAAGTGTAGCACTGATGCTCTTCACTGGGGGATGGTGAACACCTCTTGGGGATTTTTCTCAACCAGAAGGTCTGTACTGGACTCACCAGTACAGACCAGCAGCCTGAAAGCAGAAGTCTTTCTGTACAATGTTTGTTCATCCCCATCTAACCATTTGCCAAACTGTATCCAACTAATTCTCTTACGATCGTCTGCAGAACGACATGTTTTTGAGAAATACGTAGCAGGTGCTAAGACTGGAGAAAGACACAAGGAAATCTTTTATGAAGATTTGCAAAGTGAAACCGGACCTCTGCTGAGCCAACGCATTTGTTCAGCTTCAGTGCAACTGGCAGAACATGTGACACAGTTTTAAGGGGCTGAGGCAGAACAGTTCATCAAGAGTCTCCACAGAGGCTCTTTCACAGTCCCAAGCCAACGTCTCCCACTCTCTGTTCTGATCCCCTCTGGTGCAGCCCCTCTGGAAGTGGCCCTTCTCAGCTGGCTAAGGGAGCTCTGGTGCTTTCCCACTGAGGTACCAGTGGGAACGATCAGGCATTGAAAACTCTTAAGAGAACTTGCCTAGATGGTAGTGATCAAACTCTCAAGAATTTATCTACTTGTGCACAGTGCATTCTGATTAAAGTTGAATGCATAAACAAGTCTGATTTCCAAGGAGTGGCTTAACAGCTCTGAGCTACACGATTTTAACAGCAACCAGAGTCCAAGTGGTGGCTGTTGGCCACATAGGGAACTCCCCTTGGTAACACAGCCACATAAAGGGGCATTCAGGATATTTCTTTGCAATGTCCTTTATTAAATATTCTCTTTGATACAGAAGATGTAAGCAAAAATAGTTTACAATCTCTATTTTGGTAATTCTTACAGGAGTCTTCTGTGTAGTCACTGCCACAGCAGCTCATGTTGGCATTTAAGGAATTAATCCTTAGCAAAAGTCAGGTCTCTCACTGTGTGAGATCTGTTCCATACAAAGAAGTTATAAGAGTAGGCACTGGAAAATGCCTATAGGAACCATGAAAACTCTGAATTGCGGTGTTCAGGTAATACAGAAATTTAACAACTGTGTCACAGACACATTATTCTTACTAAATGAAGTAGAAGAATAGGAAAATGCATCCTCCAAAGCTTATACAAGTCATGGCAGTGCACCCCAGTGCAGCAAAAGATGAGGAAATCAACACTCAAGCACAGATGCTCCAATACAGTGTAGCAGGTGAAGCACAGCACTGCCCAGCTACACCTGCCAGTTTGGAATGCTATTTCCAGTGCTGGAAATTTGTCATGTTAATGACCATGAGGCAACTGGCACCACCCACCCTGATGGGATTCTGCCCCACAAAAATTAAGACAGCATAAACAGATTCTGCTTTGACTTCTGCCTGCCACAGCTGCTGCACAGACTCTCTGAGATCCAGACAGACTCCTGCATTTTATTCTTTTCTATGTAAACCAATAATCTCGTTTTTTACATTGATGAACAGTAAATAAATGTTTCTTTGGATCAAAGGGTAGCTCCTATACTCATTCAATAGATAAGGCTCACTGGGTATCTGGATTGAGAAGTCTTCTGGCACAGGGAAGATGACTGGGGACACAGCCACGTGCCCTCACTGTGTAGCTGTAGAGCACACATAGATCTTATGAACATTTCAGTCAGAATCCTTAAGTTATCACCAAAACACTATGTCAGGGGCTGCTTGAGGTCAAACAAGCCAGTCCCTCCTTTGACAACTTTTCCAACCACCAGGCAGGCCGAAGGGGAGCGCAGCTCATCGTGGGTACCTGCAATGGAATTCAGACAAAATCTGTTAGGAGGTGCCCAAAGGTTTCTCAAAGGTCAGCGCTGGAAAGAAAGCATTTCTGTTTACATGCAAGAAGCCATCTGGTCCAGAGAGGCTCTGCCACCTGCTGTTCACACTGACTTGGGATTTCTGGGAGCAAGAGTCCAAAACTCTTCCTACTCCTCCTACAACAACTATTATCTCATCCCGATCTTTTTTGTCCAAGCAAAGAATTAGGCCACACATTACTAAATTCTCCCTATTCAGCATGGAAAGACAACACGTTCTGAGTTCTAAGAGAGCACAGATTTGACTTTCCAGTGAACACATTTTGCTGATTAAATAGATCACTAAAAAAAATACGTGTGAGGCAAAACCAAAAAGATTCTCTTGTCATTGCTGCCTTTTCCCTTTGTTAGAGTGAATCGTTTTGATGTGGATTTTAAATCCTTCTGGCTAGATAGGAAGAGAACTTTTCACTGGAGAGACATTCCATGAATTCCTTCGATTTTGTGGTTGCTCACTGTAGCGAAATAATGTCACAGAAATTTGGAAGCACTCCAGATGACATGTCTGGCTGGGATTGTTTTGCTTCCACTGTTTTTCTAAGCAACCAGGCTGTTTTTCATTCATCCTGACTACAGCAAGCTGAAATTTTATCGTTAGAATAGTTAGAATATTGGAAATAAAACTGTTAAACTTTTAATAAGTTTGGTTCTTTTTATTCTACTGAGCAAAATGTGCTGAACTTTCTATCACGCAGAGGATGTGGGGAGGAGCTGCATCACAGCACAGTGTGCTTGCTGCTATGATCTCAGCCACAGCTGGATAACCAAGTGGCTGCTCCTAAATGTGTGTCAGCTGAAGGAAAAACAGCTCCTTTGTAAGGTCGTTAAACAGGACAGTCGTAACTGCCCTGTTTGCTCATGTGATGCTAACAAAGAATTGTTCTCCAAGCACACAGCCCAAGGGATCTCACTTGTGCTGCCGTGTGCTCCCTGCACACCAAGCCCTGATCAGCAACCTGTGCACGGCAGCCACAGACCTTCCTCTTTCCTTCTTACTGCTCAGGGCCATCTGCCCCGAGGCTCCCTTGCAGTGTCTCTTTAACTGTACAGTCAAGTTATTAGTTACATTACAGCAGATTAGATCCAGGCTGCTGCAAACCCCATTATGACTTTGATTTCCAGCGTGGTGAAATCATTAACTCCCTCTGCTTTGTAATCAGTGCAGCATTCCTGCCAAGTCACCATGCTCTGCTGTCAGTATGCACTGCATGTCTTTATTTGTAATATTATCCATAAACTACATTTCACTTGGCAAAAAAGCTCATGGGATTTCATTTCCAAGTCAGTGTGTGATATGACATAAATCCAGGGAGTGCAACTGCACAAGAACATCCTCTTCTCCTCAATTTCACCCTGGATTTACACTTTCCTTTTATGATTTTCAGATTAATTAAGTCAATTGTAACCAACACTGTTCATTAAAACCCAAATTACCTTCCCAGAAAAGGTATAAAGCAGCATTAACCACAAGGAATTCAGTGATAAAAGCATCTCTGGCACCTGTGCAAGGCAGTTTAAGGCACAAGCTGAGGAGATGAGGGCTTTCCCCATCTGTAACTGGGAGGAAAGGAGGCAGTGCAGTAGCATCCAAGGGGAGCATCTGACTGGCAAGTGACAGACACCAAGTCTATTTGCAAAAGGGAGATGTAATTAGCATCCAAAGCATGAGATCACATAATCTAATGACAGACTTAAAGCATAAGTTTTATTTTGATAGAAGGCCTTAAATGTGGATGGCTACTGGTGTTCCAAATGTCCTAAATGATCCACACAGCCATGTGATATCTGCACGTTCCAGAGAGGCAACTAGAGGGCAGAAGGATACTCTTGGGAATCTCAAATGGCACACAGAAACCTACTATTAGACAGAGGAGCCTGACCCTTTGTCTGTCTTTGAGGAAAAATGCAAAGATGGTAAAGTGGTAAATCAAAGTAACAACCACGAGGTCTGTTCTCACAATAAAATGCTGAATAGCAAGTCTAGAGAAGATATGGAAGTTTTAAGAGAGGCACAGAAACAGAGCAGAGAAGATAATAGCAGAGACAGAAAAAGACAGATTTAGTAGCTTGTTATAAAGCTTTGCTATAACAAACCTTAACAACCTAAAGGTTTGTTATAAAAATGCCTATCTAATTCTTAAAGAAAGGAGTCGCAGACCCCACAAATTACATGTGGGAGCTGACTTCATTTAAGCTGACAGAATTTTATTAAAAACACCTGGAACATTTTCCTGGACAAGGGCTTAACTAAAATTTTAGCCTCTGGCATTTTTTTCTAATGCAATTGCGCTTTACTCAAAATAGTGGAAAGTTAGGACGAAAACCAAGCACATGTGAAACGCTGCAGCAAGAGATCTCAAACTAAACCACCTACCCATCATTGTTGCTTCCTTCAAGAACTTGTAGCTTGTTTCAAATGTCATCTGCTGCAGAGGGGAGGAGTTGGACTGAATTCCAAAACGATTCAGCGGTTTATAAATTCCTTCAAAACACATGTAATCTGCCACAAGTGAAAGGTGCCGAGGGTCTACCACAATCCCTTAGAACACAAGAAAGAGCAATCATCAGAGCATTCAACGGCTAAGTGTGTGGGTTTTTTAAATAAATCAGATCTAAATTAAACCCCTTGAACCAATCAACACGGAGAACATCTCCATTAACATTCTTCTGGCAGTGTGTGTTTGCCTTAACTGCTCCCCTCAAATATCCAAGAGAGGCAGACCTATCATACAGAACAATATCTCTCCAGGGAAACTGAAATGTCAAGAATGCTGTAAGGCAGCGGAGTTTCTCTACATAAAATCAGTAGGGCCTGGACCATCTCTGTTTATGCAGAGGGTGATCACACATCCGTCCATCTGGAATGGACAGAGCTCTATCCCCTCACTCGATGGCCTGGGCTCTGGAGTCAGAAAGGTTCTGATGTTCTCTGTGCATCCACATAAAAAAATCCTGTTTAGGTTAAAAAGAAATAGCACTGATTTCTAAATAACTGTGTAATGGGGGATCATTAACAGCTCGGTCAACATTTACCAAGCAGTTCTTGAACAACTTGAAGGTGAGACCGTTCTGGGCTGCCAGCTGGCAAATCCGTTTGATATAACTGCTTGCTAAAATTCCCACTGTATTAATCTTCCCTTTTTTCAATAGTTTAATTCACAGCAAGACTCAGCTCACTGAAGGGCAATTCAACATGCCTAACTTGAGCAGTCTAAGTCAGGCAGCCTCCCCAGGCTGAACTCTCTGAATAATCTACGCAGAGAGAACATTCAGACAATGCAGTGCAGCTATTTTAGGGAAGATATAAAATCTCTGGTGCCTAGATTCCCATCATTAAAAAGCCAGAATGAGGCAAGACTGATCCTGTTCTCAGGGCCACTATACAAGTCTAACAGTTAGCTTCCTCAGACATCAATAATTAATTCGTTTGGACCTTACAGCTTGCAAAAAATATACCAGAATAGAAAAACTCTGTGAAAGGGGGATAAATTCAAACTCATCTAGTGTATTTTCTATTGATTAAAAGAAACCTAATAATTAACTAACAAGGTCTGTGCAGAAGACACTGAAATGATTAAAATGATGAAAACCTGCAATTTAAAAATATGCACATAAATGGAATGATCATGCAAAACCACAACTGTAAGCACTGTGGCTGCATTTTCCAATCTAATGGTATTAAAGACTACCTTTAAAAATACAAAGAAATCTTACCATATACAGCAAATACATCTTTTATTTCCTTTATAATCACCCTCAGGGCTGATTCAATTCCATAATTCTTAGCCATGGCATGAATATCATTGGAATAAAGTCTGTTCAGGTCCAAAATCTAAAGGCAGAAAAAAATAGAGATGCAAATTAGGACAGTAGTTGCTCTGTATTTCCAAATAACTTAAACTAAGCTAAGATAGCTTTTTTTCTCCATTTTTCATGAGCTTAAGCAGCATCAACAGTTACAGAACAACTATGAAGCAGCTCAGAGTCAAACACAGACAAAAATGATTCCAGGGATTTATGTTTAAGCAGCATTATATGAATAGGAGTACTGGAATCAAAACTCACCACAGGAGAAAATTAACTGAAATTACAAAAAGCAAACTAACAAACCATCCCAAGCAGCAGAGGAATGTGTTAAAATCTTCCAAACAACACAATGCAACACCCAGTGTCTCAGACAGCCAGAACTTTTAGCAAAAGAGAAGATATATCTTAAACCAATCCTGTTATTTGTTGTGTTATGGGCCAGATGGGGTAACAGAACTATTCATTTCCAAGCACTGCAATTCATTTAGATGGAAGAACTCCCTCGGGTAACATTTAGAGACACAGTAAGCAGCATGGTGTGAAATCATCTGTCATTAGGCACTGGCTGCTGCACAAACACTGATTTGCAAGATGCCCTTGAGAAAAGGCTCTACTGAGCTCTGAACAGATCTGGGGGTAAAAAGGAGGAGGAAGAGAGTTTAAGAGCTGAAAAGGCTACAGATCACCCCAGATAAATTGAAATGGCATCCATCATCCCCTAGAACACAAAAGATCATTCAAGTCTGGGATTATAAATAGATTACACACGTCAGAGTATCTGAACAGCTCCACCATGTTTATCCCTTCAGTGTGCAGAACAAATTCCTTCTCTCCTTCCTTATTGGTGCTTTCATTCAACAGGCACCTTGTGATCCCCTTCACCTCATGGATCACTGTGCTGCGTGCCAGGGAGGTGAGCAAGGAGGAGAGATCAAAGTACACCTTCGTCAGCGGCAGCGCCAGAGAAACCTGGCAGGAAAAAACCAACACAGTGTGAGGAAGTTGGAATACCAGGCTCAATAAACAACTCACTTCTTTTGAGGCAAAAAGCAGACAACTGGAATCACCCGAGTTGTGTGTCTAGGAACATAAACATCTGATTGGAATCCGAGCTGAACGATGCCAGTACGAACTCCCCATGCCAAGATCAGTCATGTACATTGCTTTCAAGATCTCTGAACTTACATTCACTGTTTATTTGGGGTGGCTTTCTTTGGGGAGAGAGGATGGGTATCTGTTTGTTAGGGGTTTTATTTGGTTTTTTAAGGTGCTGAGATTTTTTTCAACAGTCCAGCCATCACTTTTGTTCATCAAGAGCTGCACAGCAGTCCATTGCATATTTAAAAACATGATAAACCTGTCAAAAACTTGCTTTTAAAAAGAAGTTTTATCAGGCATTCTGAAAATTAGAAATTACTGAAAATTGTGTTGAGAAGCACATTTGTAGTGCCACTTTCTGCATTCATATGGGATTGCTGAGATAAAACAGCAGCACTGCACTGAAAAGATCCATTTGTTATGGGAGCTGCATGCAACCACCCACACATGATCCAGGCACCTTACCTCACACCAAAGTTCGTTTTCGGTGTCAAATGTGTAATCCTGTATGGATGGGTGGGTTGCCAGAACAGCATTTACTCGCACCTCTGCTGCCTGAAGTAATTGATCTTTCCCTTTTTTGGTCTGAGACATGAATGAAAGAGGTTGAGATTCTTCACCCTCTGCTCTATTCTGATCTTCTTCAGCACCAGGAGCCTTTTCTTCTTTTTCTGATTCAGCCTCTTCATCTTCTGGAGTCTCATCAACATTTTCTTCCCCATTCTCTTCTTCGCTCTCATAGTCGACCTGCAAAGAAACAAAGTTGTATTTATTTGAGCCAGAACCTGGACAGAAACAAAGCAGACCATGAACAGTTTAATTCAGGAATACTCTTCACTGCTGATTTGCAAGTACCTCGCCTATGGCACAAGGAAAACGCAATTCTGTTGTAAAGAAAATAATACAACAGATTCAGTTCAGTCTCTATTTCTTTATAATCTCGCCATTATTCCTCAGCACAGTCTGGGATGCTACAAGCTATTGGAGCTGTAACAGAATTTAGTTTTCTCCCCCTGCAAAAGTCTCATCTCTTCCCATAATCCAACTCTGAAGATGGGATTCCCTCAGGATTTTCAATTACTCCACCCTCTTGCTGAAGTTAAAGCAACCCATCTTTTAAGCAATAATTATGAAGTACTTAACCCAGAGAAACATGCAGAGCCAGGGAGAATATTTATTAAGAACAGTAAAGTTTTAAAAACAATTAATGGCATGAAATTAGCAAGAGGTGAAGTTAAGACACATCTACCCAATGCCTGAAGAACAAGGCTTCCAAGGAGGTCCAAATGAAAACTGATCAGCACAAAGCAGAGATTTTCCTATCTCCTCTCAAGAGGGGTTTGAGCTTTTTCAGCATTTTGCTTCAATGGAATTTTTCCTTCCCAACTCAATCCCAGGCAGAAGAAAGAGACAATTAAAGAACAGTGCTGAGCACCTATAAAGTCATTACCTCTTCTTCCTGGTTCTTCCTCCGTTTACTTTCTGTAGCATCACCATCCCCTTCATCAGCTTCTGCATCAACAATGTTCTCTTCTTCCTCTGCTACAGCTTCCTGATTATTCTGTCTCTAGAAACCCATGACAGATCAGATAATGAGGCTGTCAGGAAGCATCAAGAGCATCAAAAGCATTCATTATCTGGAATTTAACAATCCCTCGTTCAGTGTTCTATCTTTAAGGACAAATTAATTTCTATAAGCCCACTACTATACAGAAATGAACTTACAATAACTTCAGCACTAAAAAAGATGAGTATCTACAAGATGGATAACCTATCAGACTGCTAATGACAGTCCTTGATGGAAGACCAGTAGCAGAAGGAACATGCAAAAGAACAAACAAAGGACCTTTACAAAAGTTTTGACAAGCACTGCTACAACAGGACATTGATCTGGGAGCAAACAGAGTAATATGCTTTTGTCTCAGTGAAGCTAAAATAAACTGGCATTTTCAGAGTACAGTGAATTAGGATTTAATACACAAAAACTTTAATTTCCTTGTTAATTTTATGAGAATGCAAAGACAGTTTACGCATGAAGAAAATATTTAAGTAGCAATTTAGACTTGACACACTTTGTGTACACTGAAACATGCTACACTTTTCCAAATGCTGGTTCTGAAAAACAGGTAAAGGAAGGGAGGTTTTTTTTCAGGAAGTGTTTTTCTGTACCTTGTCCTGGTCATCATCTAAATCCTTCCGAGTTGTCTTCCGAGTGCTGACTTCAATAAAAGCTGCCATCTTTGCAGTCTTCCTTCTAATTGCTTCCAGAAAAATTCTGAAGAACCTGACAGAAGAAGCAACCCAGAATATCAAAGCTCAGCAGCACCACAGTCAATCTGAAGTTGTCAGAAAAATAATTTATTTTGGTCAAAAAGCCAGTCAACTCAAAAGAGGAAATATTCCCTGATGGATGCAAAAGTACTTCTAGGATAAGGCAAATAATTTTTCTTCTCATCTCTTTTCCATTCCTTTAGGAATCAAAGGTTGGTATCAGCTCTCTTACTATCACAGATGTAGCCATGAGTCCAAAGCTTAAAATGATATGCTCATCTGGATATAAAATCTGCACACTAAATTGACCTTCAGAAGAGATGGTTCATTACTGGACTTTTTTCTTTTTTAGACCAACAAGCACATACAAAATAAAGTAACCCCACTTGAACTCAAGGAGGAAGAAATCAATGAAGGCTTTCTACAAAACAAAAATAGCTTTCCATAGACCCTTATTAAATATTCTATTTTTAACTAGACAAATTTGGTCAGACATGGGAATAGAAACAGGGGCTAAAAAACAAAGGGGGAAAAATAAGCCAGCATTTTCTGATTGATTTATTTTTTAAAATACTAAAAAAAAAAGGAAAAAAAAATTAAAATGTTTAGTTCTGTTCAATGAAAGCACCAAGGGATACCTAAAGTATTCAAACATTTCTGCTGGTAATAAGTGCTTAAGCATCCAAAGATAAGGAATGAAATGTTGCTTATTAGGCTCTTCTCTGACTATATCAGAGACATGTGAAAGGTCTGCCCTGATACAATTCTACACTGTCACTATGCCACAGATCCACAGTTTATTCAAGACATAAACACAACTGTGTAAATGCTCCTGGTAGCACATCCACAGGAAGCTGGTGCTCTGAAAGCCATATCAGCTGTAATAAACAACATACAGAGCTCATAAAAAGACAAAAGAAGAGCAAATATTAAAATACCTGAAAGCAAACCCACCTTATTTCCATGAAGTGCAAGATCTGCCTAGGCCTCACACACTTCTCCTCTCGGTAATATTCATGGGGCAAGAAATGGAATTTGATTTTGTAGAGGCGATGCTTGTTCTGCTTGTGCTTCACATGCAGGGATTCCTCTATGTCCACTTTCTGCAGGACCTACGAAAGCCCCAAGTGAAAATGTTACTTCTTTGATGAAGACACTTCATTCACTCCCTGCAATTCCACTATTTTCCACTGGAGACCAGAATTATACAAGGCAAACTTTTCTGGAGGTTTTGTGGCAGCTCCTGAGGAACAGGACTCTACCCTATTGCATTGTTTTTGGCTTAAACTCTTCTCAAAAATTAGCTTAAGACAACAGTGGGAGAACAGCCTCATCTCCCACCTGACTTCTTCACAAGACACTACCCTTCTTAGTGGGTCAACAGCTGCATTTTATGACCCCAGCTCATTGAACAGGACAGTATTTCAGCACACAGCTGAGTCTTAACTTTATCCTTGCTGCTTTCAACTTGCAAGAGTAAGACAGAACTGGGTGCAGCGTGTAGGAGAGCACAGGACTGCACTCCCAGGAAGAGAGGGAACACAGAACACATCACACTTCAGTATATGGAGTCTCCAGGGAGCCACACATTTTGAGCACAGCCACCTGTTTGAGACTGGGAAGGGGTGGGGGGCAAACAGAAAAGTCTCTGTTATGCCAGTCACAGCCAGGTTAGCTTGTTTCAAAGACAAAACAGAACCCCTCCAATTCTAGAGACTGTCAAAAATGAGCTTGACAAAAAGCCAGGCAAGACTATGGCAGCAAACATAAATCCTCTCTGCCGTTATACTACTGCTTTCTCTGAACTATTTCCCTTCCTTTACATTTCAGAGTTTGCAGCCTAGGACAGGGTTCTACAGGTTAAATTGAATTTAAGTTTTACACAGCCACAGTCACTGCAATTCCTTCCAACACTCCACTTCCTAGCAGGTATTACAGGTTCAGTAGGTAAAGAGAAAGGACCCTCTCATCTTGCATTCACAGTTAAACCTTCAAATGTGGAAACTCCTACTAAGCCAGACCTACTGATGAGCTCAAACAGGAGATTTTGTTTTGCCAATTTTCAAAGGATGCACTGGACAGGAGGCTCACCTCAGCTAAGCAGACTCTTGTGAGCTGTTTCTTAAGATGTTTCACCTTCTTGAGGGCTTTCTTGGTATTGAACACAGGAACACTCATCATTGGCGTTTTAATATTTTCACTGGCCACCATCAGTATTTCCCGCAACCTTCAAACAAAGAATGATCTTTCAAATTAAGCCAAAAAAGCACTTTGCAATCAGATGAATGCCTAGTTCATTCCATTAGGCAGCATGCAGCAACTGGCAGTTCTGCCAAAGCTGTGTGCACCAAGAGCTGTGTGGTTACCACTGCACTGCTCCTTTTCACTGCTCTGGTTCCCCACCAGGCACAGCACAACAGCAGCTCCACTGCCTCAATGAGATTATTCCCCCCCAGTTGTGGGAAAAGAGTAGAAATTATAATAAATGGTTCCAAGAACAGAAGAACTAATGAAGTCTGTTTCCTACAGATGCATAATGGATGCTTCCTCATGTTCTCCCCCTTCCCTGCTTCTCTGAAGTAACACAATGACCTCCCACCTAAGGCATCACACACCCACACGAGGCCAGGCCAGCACCCACGTTATTCAGAACAAACTGATGATTTGCTGTATATCAGATAAAAGTAAGGGGCCTTCACAGATATTTTGGTTCATTTTCCAGATAAAAAGTAACTGTAAAACTTGAAAACATTAAACTAGTTCTTAACAGGCACAATTTTCTATTAAACTGAAGGATCATTCACCCTCAAGATTACACATATACCTGCCAGTGAGATTAAGCACAATTGTATATCCAAGTGCCTGAAATAAAGGACCCATTGAGGACGCAGTTTTCTCACCTTGGAATACCCAATGTGACATTCATTTCACCTCTGCCAGCAAAGTGAAAGGTGTTCAGAGTCATCTGTGTGGAAGGTTCCCCAATACTCTGAGCTGCAAGAAGACCCACAGCTTCTCCCGGGTCACAAAGAGATCGCTGCCACTTTAAATACAACAAATCCTTTAATCTGAAGACAGGAAATAAGAGGTTTAGCTCAATGTACAAAATTAAGAACGCAGACAAGACTGAAACATTGCTCAGTTCAATAAAGTTACATCTTTCAGCCAATTTCTCCTGGTAACTTATGCATAAATATGCTCCAGAAACTGTAAAATTCTCTATCCCAATTGGATCTGACAAACACAGACCATTAACCTAGAACTGGGGCCTTGGCCAAACCATATTTTATTTCTGCTGCCAATTCCCAGAATGTCAGAAGAGAGTCCATTTACTCCCACTTGCTCTTCTTAACTGCCTTGATAACTCCAAGGTGTGTCAAGAGCATATTTTGGGTTTTAAGGTTACTGTAAAGTATTATTTTATATGTACAGGGACAGTAATACACTGCTGTTGTTCCAGAAGGCCTTTGCCAAAGCCCTCAGCAGCATGGAAAATTCAGGTTTGGAAGAAACAGATAACCAGGGCCTCCCACTGCACACTAAGCACACTTGGCTTTCAGGAACCATTCTGAAACCCACTGCTTTATTTCACAAAGGCCACAACAAAAACAACATGTGGTAAAGGTTTTTCAGTTTTAGCAAACTCAGTTGAAAAATGTATTTCAATTTTTGGCTCAGTTCAGAGAAGTAGAGACAGAAGTTTTTACCTATCAGAAGAAAGTGCTGGGTGCATATAACTTTGGCTGTTCTCAGATTTCCATTTATTGATATAACCTTCGACTCCATTTTCAAATGTTTCTGAAACAGATGCAAAATGAGTATCTGGACGCCAAACACCAAGGCTTGGGTCAGGACACTTATTTGTCTTCTTCAGATACTTTCTTCGTTTCTTCTCATCTAGCTCATACCACATCTTCAATAACTGAAAAGGAGAGGAGATTTTTAAGCAGACTGGTTTCTCCACAACCACCTAACACTGCTTCCAGGAGCAGCAGTGAAGGAGAAAAAGATAATCTGTGTAAAATGTAAGGGTGAATGTAATACAGCAAACAGCTCAGCTACAAATAACGGTGTTCTCCTTTATCTGATACTTAACACTTTTGAAGCCAAATGACTTCAAGATTCTTTTCAAGCCTGAAATAGTCCGACATATAACCACAGTAACTACTCCAGAAACCAGTGAAATGCAGCCTCTAGGAATGATTTTAACTTGGGAGTGAACCCCCTTGACATACTTAAATCTTTACTCTAGCTGACTATCACCTCGCCTATCCAAAGCTGGCATGAAAAAAAAGCTTCTCTGATTTTCAGTTCTCAACATTCAAGTCCAATAGTCCAGCAGAGCTCTTATTACGTATGTTGATAGGTTTTATTTCTCTTCTTCAGTCTGTTAGCTTTTAAAGTAACATTTCAACTGTCACATTTGATAAAAGAAATAGCTAATACCAGCTTAAAAAAAAAAAATCAATTCAGAAAATGAGCTAAACTGATCTTTTACAAGCCTTGCTGTTTCATGAAGGAGGAATTGGCTTGTGACATGGAGATCTGTCCACCGAGCTTTCTAATATACTGAGACAAACAAGTATCTGCATCTACCTATCTACTGAAAGCAAAAAGCAGGACCTGTTTGCATTTTGTGTCCATACATACAATCGTCATTAGAAGCTACACCATATAGATCAGTGCCATGATGTACAAGAGGCTTAAGCCAGAGTATTTTTTGGAAACGCTAGGCAGGGTTGGCTCAGCCCTCTGATCTTTGGTATTTAAACAGGCTCTCATCCAGCTAGCAGATATCTGTCCATGCAAGGGAGACTTACTCTTTGTATATGAAAAAAACCCTATATAATCCACCAGCAAAAAACCAACCAAACAAGAACAATCCCCCCAAACCATCCATGAACATGAGCTGTTTTCTAAAACTAGATTTACCTCAGAGTTTTTAGCTCCTGACCCAGTACTAGGGCCCACAGACTTTAATAAATAATTCTCAGCTTCATCACCCACAGCTGACATATGATTCCTTCAAAAGGTAACTTGTTTAAGTAGACCGTGAAACACTTCAGGACATACAAAGCCATTAAAAAAAAATACTGAATTCTGAAACTTTTTTTGAATGGTTTGGTCATTTCAGCTGCTTCTGTGTTACCTGTAAAGTAGCAGGATCTCTTCCATTTTTTATTTCACCTGCTGGAATCTGTGCTTTCACACTTGCCCTTTTCTTTTGGGAAAACAACAGAAAACCTCCTTCTCTTTGCACAGAGCTTTGGTGCCTGGCTCGCCACTTTTTGATGGCTTTGAACTGCCGGTTAGCTTGGTGAGACTCCATCCTTGCTAAAGCTTCATCCAGATGGTTTGTCTTCTGGATTACCTATAAGCAAGTTGTGTGTGTGATTATTCTTCTCTCTATGCTCACTGTGGCAGAAAAGGCAAAGCAAACTGAAATGGTCATCAGCTGCTACCCAAAATGCTCAGATGCTGTAAAACAACTTACAAAACTGCTTTTCAACTCAACTGAGACAAAACTTATAATTTAATGTTATTATCACCATTCTGTAATAAGCAGTGATGACACTGATAAAAGGAAGTTAATCAAACTTGACAGACTGTAAAGTAGTTTTTGCTGAATTCAAGTGCAGAGTTGAAACACAGTGCTTGATGGTTTGCTGAAATTGAGACTTAAATCATGCTGAAGACTTTAGATCTGCTTCCATCTTTTGAATACAATGATACAGTGGCAAAAAAGAAAATGTAATTAGTCTGAGAATGACTGAGAGAAACAACTGTTGCCACTGGATCCCTGACAGATAGGCCAGATGTTAACCATGCATTTCAGTCTCCCCTTTACCCCAGATAAACACAAGATTTAGGTGTTCTACCTCATAGTTTTCTGCAATGAAAGGAAACTGCTCTGGCTGTAAGAACTGAGTTTTAGGGATATCAAGCCCATCTTCTCCATACAGAAACTGCACCACGCTGCCATCGCTGTCCCGTACAGTCAGGTCATACTGAACCACCAGTCCTTCCAAGTGTTTTATGATACACCTATTGCAGAGGAAAAAAGAAATTAAAAAAAAAATACAAGAAAAGGAAAATGCTATTAAGAGGCTACAAAGCAACACTGATGATATAACTCTAACACAAAAAATACTGTTTTCATTAACCTCTTAAGTGTACTTAAGGGCTGAATGGGAATTCTGGAAGCCAAAAATCCTACAGACACAACAACCAAGTGAAATGCATAAAGATATTGGCGAAGCTTTCAGCTTGTTGCTCCCTCCAGCTTCCTTGGACCGACCCGACTTAAAATGAAACAGTAAGTTACTATTTCTGCTGTCACTCTTTAACAGTTGTCTGAAAGAAGGGGACATCTCTCTGAAACAATTACAAGCTTCCATCTTCTTCCATATACTGGAGGTGTTGCTTGACTAAAGATGAGGGTCACACAACGTGGCCAAGAAAAACTAGAGTTGCCTGGAGTTTCTACATCTGTACTTGTACCAGCAAAAGAAGTTGCTGCTGCTATGTGCCAGAGATAAGCTAGAGATAATAAAGTTCCACTTGATCTAGTCCTGTAGAAAATTGGACTTAGAACACACATTCAACATTCAGACAGTAAACAATTTTGTAAAAGTCAAGTACAGTGAAGCTAGTCTAAGCACTACAGGCAATTCTGGTCTACAGCATTCTCCAAAAAATAACCCCCCAAAAAAAACAAAAAGAGAAAAATCAACCAACTAAACAAAAGGACCTTTTAAAGGCTCCAGTTCTAAACCAAGCCTCTTACCTTTGCAGGTACCCAGAACGGCTGGTTTTGACAGCTGTATCCACAAGACCTTCCCTGCCAGCCATGCAGTGAAAGAAGAATTCCTAAATACAAGCACAATACCATCATCATTCTGCTGAGAAGTACACCAAGACTGGAAATTTAAGCTATTCCTCAAAAGCTACATATAAAAGTAGGGTGAACAAGTTAATTTATCTATAATTGCAGATACTCGCTATTAAAATACCAAGATTAAATAAACTTCAGTATCAATACAAGCAGTATTAAACTTACAGAAGGTTTGATCCCAGTGAGAAATCTGCCAGTCACAAATCCTCCTGAGCTGGGGGAAAAATCATAAGGCTGGAAACAGGGCAGTGATTTGCCAGATGCCATCAGTGGGGGTCTCCGACCTTCCAACTCGATCTGGCCCAGCAAACACGAAATCTAAATGTGGACAGGAAAAAAAGGAAACATAACTTTTCCATCCAACTTTTTTGCTCACATAAGTTTAATAAATGTTCTTGAAAAATACAGTAAAAAAAAAAGTAAAATGTTCACTACATGCTCAGTGTCTAAATGTTAACTTTTTCATGAAATGTTCATGCTACTGAGAGGCAGAAAAGGCATCAAGATTTCATCTGGTCTTATTAATTATTCCAGCCCTCTGACTTATCCTCAACATTTTCATTCTCATTGTGTATGTTTATTTTAATACAAAGAGATGTGAAACTAAAAATATCGTAAATAATTTTTTTGAGGGTCCCTACATGATCCTCACCACCTCTCAGAAAGAGAACAAAAATCGCAAACCAAAACACTTCCTCTCTTGAGTTTTGGTCATTCTCTCTCATCAGAGGCAGAATTTTAGATGGCATTTTTATATAGTGTTTTTTGCTTGGTGTCTGTGTTGCAGAAAGCAAAATGAAGAAGCATCCTTGCCATTTCCACCAAAATCAAAGATTTAGTTGTTCCCATTCAGTAGTGGAAGAAGGATAAAAGGGTCGGTCTCCAACAGAGGCCAGGAAAAATCCTTTCTCCTACAGTTTGCATGAACTGCAGCATTCCTTCTGGAAAGCAGGTCTGCTGCTGCAATAAATCCTCATGTACTGAGAAGTGATTCAAAAATAGATTATAATAAACACTGACTCTCCTCCATCACCCACTGAGGTCTTTTTTACATTCTTCTAAAATTTTTCCATGTCACAGTCCAGAATAAAAATCTTGCTTTGGTATTAGATATCCCCACAAGAGCTTCCCAAGAGCTCACATTCTAGTTCAAATCACATCAACACATGTAGCTGCTGAGTATCCTGGCTGTGATTACCTGCATTGTGTTTACAGTGGATCCTTTGGCTCCTGACTGTACCATCAACTGCAAATTGTTCTCTGGAAAGCTCCTGTGGAGACCAAGGGGCATACAGACCTAAAGAGTTGTGGTGGAGGGAAGGGAACAAAACCAAACATTAATAATAAAATAATGAACCAAAGCAATTCCCGTTGAAGGTTTTAACGAAGTGAAAAAACAATCACAAATATTTCTATTTATAATTTTAAAAGCATCTTGAACATTAGGCCATCTCACTCAGGGAGGACAAGGCTGAGGTGGAGAGGCAGTGTGTGAAGCCTTGTGCTGGGACAGATGGAAAGCTTCAGCCTTCAGAAGAGTCAGGAACCCCTCACCAACTTAATAAGAAATTCTCCAAACAAGATTAGTATGCACAGATGCCTCGATGCCAACCTTGTTAACTTCGTTGTTGTAATTGTTTACTTCCTCCTTGAATTTCATATCAACCATGTTAAAATCCCTCTGGTCTTTGCAGAGATGGGCATCCTGCCATTTCCCTTGGACCTCTTCACATGATGCTGTTTCTGGCAAATTAAGAGCAGCTCTAACAGCCTGAAAGTAAAATATGGGGGTTTATAGGTGTCAAGCAGTCATGATTAAACAGGGCATGGTTTCAAAAATTTTTAATTATGGGAAAAAAAACAAACCTGCAAAACAGACTTACTTCAATACCACTCTGCTTTGACTTTTCAATGATTTTTTTTCTTTTGTGGTCTGCATCGGGTTTAACCAAAATATCTTCAATCCCTGTTAAAGAAGAGACCCAGAACACAATGATCTAAACTGAAAGAGAATTGAGGAAGGAACCACATTTGCTGTAAGGGATTTTGAGAGCAAAGAGCTGGAAAAGAAAGTCACAATTAAAGTTATAATTCTGCAGCTTGACAAGAAAAAAAATTGAGTGGCTTTTTGATGGAGGTGTAGGCCATCAAAAAAAAACATGCAACATCAACTAAGCATTAAGGGTGCAAAATCAACTTCAGAAGTCTTAATTCATCAGTCTCTAAAAATTTTTAATTGGTGCACTTGCGCAAACAAATGTTTTATGGGCCACATCAATCTGGTTTTCCTTCTCCATCCACACCAAAATTCCTGTTAGCTGAACGTTGCTCAATCTGGCATTTCTTAGCTTTTTTAAAAAAAGGTAAATTAAAAATGCAGACCCTTGTGATGACAGGACAAGGAGAACAACAGGACAAATTAAAGACTGGAATCCTAACTGCTCTAAGCTATTTGTAAGGAGTCACTAAAATGGTCACTCCTGCTCCAGTCCCACTTCTCATTTTCTATTGTTTTAACTACCTAGTGATCATCCCAGGCTTGTTACCTTTTCCTAACTAGTTTTTGCACCCTGGCTCTCCTGACACGTGTTCTGTATCTTACAGTCAACAAATCACCTTCCTCACTCCAAAAGATATCCTTCCCTTTTCCTTGGCTCACAGCAGTCTCTTGGTTCCTCACTATTGCTGTCTAATAGTTGACTGTGCCTCCACAACTCTTACATGAGTTTGCAAAGCTGTAATGAAAGTCAGACATTTACCAAAAGTTTTACAGTAGAGTGGTGCAAGACCTGATTAACAACCCCTCAAAGTCCTTTCATCTTGCTTCATCAGTTGTTCTGCTTTCTGTGCAACAATTCTTTTTCAAAAAAGATAACAGAGATTCATAGGAGGTTTTTATCTAAACAAAATTTCAAAACGAGGCATTTAGACTGTGTACACTTTGACTAGGATGGACAGAAGAGAGAACTTGTTGGACATACTCAACATTGTACTTTATGCTTATGCACCAAGCAGGAAGAGGAAAGAAAAAGTTCAAAAAAAGGTTGGCAAGCAGCTATACCACTCTAGGGCAGTCTTGCTAAATTTTCTTTACAGAATTAGCATGTATTATGCCCAACAATGTCTGTTTTATATCTCAGGAGGTGCTGCAGTTACTCACCCATTGTAAACCCCCTGTACAACTGCAGGTAAGCAGTGAAGAGGCGTCCCAGGCACGTCAGCACCTTCCCACTGGTTTCACCCCCATAGATTTCATAGCAACAATGGACCAGGCCATAGGCAGAGCTGCCAAAGTGAGCTTTGTCCAAGACTCCACACAGTAACTCCCCGTTTCTAATAATAACCTGAAAAATAAAACACAGCCATTCAGGAAAATGGAAATTTTGATCTTACTATGACCTCTACAGGTTTTTCTGTGTAATCCATGTGAAAATAGGTTTAAGTTTAAAAAGTTCACATAACAGTTAAATATGGTCAGATTATCTGTACTTCCAGAATTTATAGCAGAAATAAAACTTCTAACACCATCTGTATTTTTCCATCTATAAAGTCCGAAAATGAAGACACATGGCCTAACAAAAACAGATGGAATCTGCATCAGTCAGGACCAGATGAGAGTTTTTCCTGACCACCAGGCCTATCTTTCAATCACCCGCTTCTGGTAGTAACTTTTGCTAAATATCTGCTTTTAACTTTGTCATCCGTCCACCGCCCTTCCCATTCCTCTACTGTATACACAATTTTAGTACAACACAGCCCATCCCAACCTCCAGAGCTGCCCCCTTCTCTGCTGTCCCAGACTTGCTGCATACCTGAGATTCACACATTGAATCAAGATTTAGACATCTGCTTGCAGGTCCCTTCACCCAGGCTCTCCCACCAATCTTGGCTTTCCCAGTCAAATTCAGTGGAATGTGGTTGTCTGGGATGACGTTTATTAGCAACGTAGAAACAACCTATAAAGAAGCAGCAAGAGTGGCAGGAACTATTTATTTCCTATATTCCCTTCTCAACATAAAGAATTTGGCATGGAGGAGACAAGCAACATCCTGTATGTATTTTCTCCACTGACAGCAAAGTTTTAAAAGTCTGAAAATCTGACAAGACAGAAATATCCTCATGCTACTCTAGCCTTTGAAAGATCAATGAGCTGAGACACATAATTATTTAGAAACATATGGAAGCAAAGACTTTTCCAATAACTAGATAGATTAAAATTAACAACAACAAAAAAGAGCTGTCTGTTGGGTTTTACGTGAAAAACTGGCAGAGAACTTCCTCTACTCTGCTATAAAACATGATACTTGGGCTGAATGTTAAGCTCTCTTAAATAGCACAAAATGGAGCACTCACTTGGGTTTCCCAGATATTATATCAATCTAATGATGATCTCAAAAAATAATATTTACCTACAGCCTTTAAGTTCAGGCATAACCTAGTTTACTATGACCAATAAATTCCTTCCTTGCTCCCATGCCTGTCACCTGCACCACTACACTTTTATCTGCAACACCTATTCTAATTCTGCCATTTTAAATGAAAGATGACTCTCCCAGCTCAAGAACGTACACCAGGATCTATGTGGTGTGGATCAGATGATGGGATCTGGTTTTTTAGAGCAGCCCTGGTTTTAGCATCAGCATTCTGCTTACTATGGAACCATCGGCATTCTTCAACCCAGTAAATTATAAACCACCTGCTTTCCTGTCCATAATCGCTGTGGTTTCATAATGGCAGGAGGAAAGGTTTTAATTCTTCCTTTCTTGTCTGTCAGTCCTCGGTAAACAAGCTCCATATATTGCTCTCTGGTGAAAAAGCAGCCCCGGATTGTCATGCTGACTCCAGAAACCATGTGATCCTGGATCAAGCCAGGAAGTGGCTTCCCATCCTAAAGAGATAACAAGAAAAAGGGTTGGGGGTGTTAATAAGCCTCCAGCTCCCAAAATTATTCCCCCTGGATAAAAGCACTAAAGTAATTTGTAAAGAACTCATCATTACAGCACAACTCCACTAAAGCTCTTCTGGACACTGACATTCAAAGGAACAAGACTGGACATGCTGGGCTTTCTTCAGATGAACAAACCACAGGTGGAGAAAGAACAGAAACCAGGAATAAATCTCAGAAGTAAATAAATAGATTTGTTTCAATATTCTCTCATTTATCATTAGAAAAAACAAACAAACCAAAGTGCTTTCGGGTAGGAGTACATTTATCTGATAGTTTCACTTGCCTTTGGCACCAGATACTGTTCATCAGTACAGGCTAAGGTGTAGGCTTCTGCCCTACCCAGCTCGCTCTGTGGAAAATGGGCATTCATCTCATCTCCATCAAAATCAGCATTGTAAGCCTTGCAGTTGGCATAGTGAAGCCTCAGCACTTTTTCTCCAGGCAGGATTCGGGCCCGGTGAGCTTGGATGGAAGGCCTGTGAAGGGTGGGCTGGCGGTTCAGTAACAGGACATCTCCATTTTTAATATGTCGACACACCTGCAAGGGAAATTTGGTTGCTCCCTACATGGCATTTCCATGCATGGCTCAAAAAGGACTGCACCTTTAGAGATACACACACCCAAACCATTTTATTTCTAGTATGCACAAAACTGTGCAGTTCTGCACAAAACTCAGAGAGAATCGAGACTGCTTGCCCCTGAACACCCTCTGCTCTCCACCAAATCACACATTAACTCCTACAAACCACAGTGATTGAATCAATAAGCTATTTATCCAAAGCCCACTGGGTAAATTGATACCTGCCACAATACACCCAGCCCTGGACATCCTAGAATAAGGTAATAATACCACTGAGTAGGTGGAGCAGAGGATTTCTGAGTTATAATTTCAAGTTTGAGTACAACACAATATATTCTTATTTAGAACAGGGTCTATCAAAACAGTCTCATTGTAATTTTTCTGTCAGTAACACTCATATATCCACTAAAGTGACTATTGACAGGAGTATGACAAGTTGTTTGTACAATCTAAATATTGTCATGTTTACCTCTGTGACAGGTTCTGAGAGGACTGACATCACAGCAATACTCAAGTCTTAAATATCAAATCCACTATACCTCTCTTACAGACAGGGTAATACATAACAGACAATGTGAAAAGATTATTCAACACCAAAACCTCTGCCCTAGCAGCTAAATAGTAAGTTCCTAATTCTTGAAATGGAGGGAGATAAGAGTTAAGAAGTTTCAAAGGTTGATTAAGCTGTAGCAAAGAGAAGAAACAACTGACATAGCATCAATTAGGTTGGAGAAAACCTCTAAGATCATCTAGTCCAACTCTTAACCCAGCCCTGTCAAGGCCACCACTAAACCATGTCCCTAAATGTCACATCTACATGTCTTGTACAAATCTCCAGGGATGATGATTCCACCACTGCCCCGGGCAGCCTATTCCAGTGCTTCACCACCCTTTTGATGAAGAAGTTGTTCTTAAATCCAATCCAAATCTCCCCTGGCACAACTCTTGTCCTGTCACTTGTTACTTGGGAAAAGAGACCAACCCACACCTCGTTACAACCTCCTCAGGTAGTTCAGGCTCTGCCCTGAGCCTCCTTTTCTCCAGGCTAAACACCCCCAGCTCCGTCAGCTGCTCCTCATCAGACTTGTGCTCCAGACCCTTCCACAGCTCCACTGCCCTTCTCTGGACACGCTCCAGCACCTCAGTGTCTTTCCTGTAGTAAGGGGCCCAAAACTGAACACAGGATTCAAAGTGTGGCTTCACCAGTGCCCCACACAGGGGAGATCATTGCCCTGGTCCCACTGTCAACACTATTTCTAATACAGGTCAGGATGCCACTGGCATTCTTGGCCAACTGGGCACACTCCTGGCTCATGTTCAGCCCCTGTCAACCAGCACCCCCAGGTCCTTTCCCTCTGGGTAGCTTTCTGCCTCCAGCCTGGAGCTCTGCACGGGGTTGTTGTGACCCAAGTGCAGGACCCAGCACTTGGCCTTGTTGAACCTCATTCCACTGGTCTCAGCCCATCTCTCCAGCCTGTCCAGATCCCCCTGCAAAAACTGACTGAGGGTGCACTTCCAGTTGCTGAGAATTTGCTGAGAAGGACAGGGAGGAAGGAGGATGTAAAAGCATGAAATGAAAGCAATATTTTATCTTCCATGCTGTTAAACTTCTCAAGAACAGTTAGCTGCAAAAGACTACTCTGGATCTTAGCAAGGTCCATATTTAAAGAAAGAGTAAAATTCAAAACGGAAAAATGGGGTTTAGAATTTGAAAAAATATCATGTTTTTCTTCCCACCCCACAACTTTTTCTCAACCATGAGAACAAGTTGTCTCAACAAGACAAGACAACCTTGCCCTGGCAGTCTTGGTGAGCAGGACAGTAAGTATTATTATGTAAAAAAAATAGCACCACGGGTGCAGGAGGGCTCTGACAATCCCTCTGTCATACTCACAATCTTCAGTCCTGACTGGGGGGCTCCAGAAGAAGGAGTGAGGAGCTGCTTGGCGATGGCCTCCCTCTGGGTCAGGCTGGTCGCGCTCAGCACCGTGCGAGATCCGTCCTCGTTAATGACCATGGAGGCCCCAGGGTGAACCTTTGGGCCATTTATGACAGCCTGCCTCAGCTCTTTGACATTCCAGGGAGTGACTGGCTGAGGGTAAGTCAGTTTGGTAGCAAATACCTGGACAGCAGGGAAAAGAGATGAGAAATAACATGTTGTTCAACTTCAGCTTGAAACCGAAAAAGCCACTGATGAAACAGTGTCAAATGTTAACTCACACAATGCAAACATGAATTACTTTAAGCTCCTGGAGGCATCTCCTCCTCAGTCTACTCTACTGTCAGATAAATACATTTCTGTTTTAAAAACCTCTACCGTTAGAGTAGAAAGGATGTTGCTTTTACAATTTCCAATAGGCAGCCAGAAGAGATGATAAAATGAAAAGATCAAATTCAGGCTCTGTGTGGTTAAAAATCATTAAGGATGGATGAAGCTAGTGTTGTCATTATGGCCTTTCTTAAAGGCCACAGCTGTGCAAAATACACTGCACAAAGACCACAGGAGAAACAGAATCTACTTATAAAATTTGCACCAATTCTTAACCCCACGAAGCAAATTCTTAATCCCATGAAGCTTTTTCCTTTTTTTTTTTTTTTTAAATACTCTTTCTCAGATGTGGTGTTCAGTGTAACTGCTCCTTATTAACACGCAGTAGCAACATACAGGAATTCAGTCCCCAGCTGCACCAGAAGGAAACACTCTTTTTATCCATTCTCACCATGGGAATGCCAATCTCATTGGTACCAATGTACATATCGGGGCAAATGACTGATCGAGCAGCAAAATCCACGCGCTTGCCCATCATGTGCTTCCGGAACAGCCCCTCCTTCTTCTCCAACAGCTTTGAAAACAGGAGGTAACGATTAAAATGTGAAAGTATGCAACATCAGACAGATTCTCCAGACACTACAGTGATGAATATCATGAAAATGCCCACAAGTAATTCACTTTTTTCTTACTCCATCAGGTTCTCTTAATTTAACTGTCTGTGACACACAAAACCCCAGAGTTTTTAAGGTTCTGCCTGCTACCCACCTGACGAATACCAGGGTATTTTTCTTTTATCAGTTTGTCCATGTCACTGTCAAATACAATGTTGACATGGCTCTGAAGACGTATCCAACTGTTGTACAGCTTATCTGCAATGCTCTGTCCTGGAATCGCTGTCAGCACAGAACGGTCCAAAGGTTCATTATCCCCTCCTATCTCCTGCAGAAACAGAAATTAGAAACTTGGACTTAACAAAAAATATCTTCTATTTACTAGGCTGAAATTACAGTATTAATTAGAGTGTTATACATAGCAAATAAAACATTCACCATTATTTTGCACCTCCTTAAAGAAACTAGTTTAAAAAAAAAAAACACAACAAAGAATTAACAGTGTAAACTTAACTTTCAAGTTATTGCAACCAAGAGCCTCAGACAGGTCTGCTGTCAAGCTTTAAAAACTGACTTGGATGGGAGATCTCTAAAAACCACAGCTACATATACCAGTGGGACTTTAAAAGATGATTGCTAATTGATCATCTGCTGTTAGGTGACAGTCCTCTTTCTAAATTAGATGTTACTGGTTAGTCAGTCTGTGCTATGAATCACTGTAACTAGAAAATTCTGTTCTTAGATAAAAATAATGTAAATCCAAGTGCTTTTATCACCTACATCACTTTGTTTTCAGTCTAAATGTCTGTATAGCAGTCACATGGAAACGCATTAACCTCCTGTCAGTCACACACTTAAGAATGGATCTCCACCTAGTGGCTACATTCTGAGTAACTAAGAATGTTTTCAAAATGTTTTACACTTAAAATATAAAGCAAATTCAGCTGAAATGAAGTCCAGTATCAAAGAACTCTCAGTGATACAACGGATGAACAAATAAGGCAAACGGACCTACATTATGATTTGCCATTATACAACCACGTGAACTGGTCAGCAGCAGACAAGCATTGTTACTAACTAATGTTATCTGGTTCTATTTAGACATCAATGGTCAAAAATAACCACAACCACAATTGGTTCTACTAGGTTCAGAAGCTAAAGGGGCTTTTTTCCCCCCTCCATTCATTTTTCATGTGATGAGATACTGGCAAACTTTTATCGTGAGCTGTTTGTGCTGTACATATTTCCTTCTCCAGAAACAGGAGCCCGTTATGTCTCACGTACAGTAATCCAACACCAAAACCCACGACTAAAAGAATACGAGCAAAATGTTTGTTTCCTTTGCACCAGGTAGACGAGAGGAAAGAGGGGAGGGGAAAAAAATAAAACAGCTATGGAGAACATCTCCACCAGCACATGCTCCAACAGCTCAGGCAAAAACTGCTACTGGGACAGTTTAAACAGGAGCCAGCCTGAACGCGACGCACACATCCAAAAAGCAAAGAATAAGATAGCCAGCAGCTCTTACTGTTTGAATTTCTTCTGCAAATTTTATTGGCTGACATTGTTCTTTTGCCATGAAAAGCAAGAGTTTCCGTATCGTCTGGGCATCTTTCATCACAGCCTGCAGGTTCACAGTCTGGCCGTTCGTGAACAGTCGATCTCCAAGGCGATTTACGGGACGGTACCTACGGCAGGTCAAAATCACTTTAGAAGATTAAAGCCACTGAACAGCAGCATAATAAACCTCTAACATTCTAAGCTAAGTCTTCAATGCATGAAAAATAATCCCTGTAAACTAACGGTGAGCATTTAAAAATTCACACATTCTACTGCGACAGTCATAAAAGAGGAGTGATCCTTAACAAGAAATTCTACCAGTACTACAGTTATAATATTCTAAAATAATTTAAAATACTAATACTGGGTTTTTTTCCATAATTAATATTTCAATCTTCTAACAAACTCATAAAAGTTATTATCAGTTACTGATATAATTTTTTTTTTTAACACTCCACTGACACTTCAGCAGATCAGTGTCTGTACTGTAATTGTTTGCTAACTCCTGCAAAAAGCATATGTGCTAAACCCTGTGATTTCTACAAAAGCTTTTTGGGGAAAATTTTACCTCGAAGGCGGAACCACAAGTAGATCTAAAAAAAACATGTCTGGACTGAATCCTGAACTCTCATGGGGATCCATCCCAGGGAAGAGATAACGCAAAAAGAAACCTAAGAAGACACAACAGAAATATAAACTCATTCTCATTGTTTGGGAATCCAAATTCCCAGGTGCACTTGGTCAATCAAGTCAAAAGAATCTGCTAAGTTAAACACTACTGAGCTTGTTTAAAATAAAAACTTTCAGGTTTTAGAAAGAATTGCCACTCTCTTTTTGGTTACATACGTGGTATTTTAGAAACAACTCTAAACAGAAATACAGATTATAGCAGAAGGAAAACGGCAGGAGGAAAGCTTCCAGCAACTTATTGCCAGTGATTCATGAAACTGCTGTTTTTTCCTGGCAACTGCAGACAGATGAAGAGTACAGGCAACTCAAGAGACTGATAAACACATTCCTGGTCTTTATCTGTGAGGAATTGCAGCACCATACAAAAACCACACTCTCTGTAAACAACAGTCATGATTCGTGGGGAGCCACAACATGAGAACAGTGGATCAAACTATTCCTTAAATCCAGGTCCCTGCACTGACCAGCTACCAGTCCTCCTATCACAAAACCTATCTTGCAGCCATGAGCCCTTAAGGCAAAAGGCAAAGATTTGACAAGGAATTAATACTGGAACATTTGCAGACATTGTCCACCAAATGGTACAGAAAACAAAGTAACATTGCTATTAACAATTATTACCTTCATTCTTCCACAGAGCCAGGATGTACTCTTTGGCAGTCATTGGTGTCAGGTATCCTCTCTTCCCTAACTGGCTTTCATCAATAACTGAAAAATAAAAAATGAAATAAAAATAAAATATTTATTTAAAAAAAAAAATCTCAAGAGGTTACCCTGAAAGGGTTTTTTTGCTTACAATGGTAAGTGCTTCTAGTTAAGAGAAGGAATGGAAATATATACAAAGTATACTGGCTGACATTCACATCAAAATTATCATTTAAATGTTTGCTTTGGGAACATGAAATTAACCAAAGAAAGAGCCTTCTCAGAATGGAAAAAAAAAGGAGCCATGTCTGAGATGAATGGATATCTATATAAGCAACTGAAACAAGACTCATCCTGAACATCTAAAGTGTATGTTTTATTTGACTAATGGTGAGCTGCACCCTTTCTCATGATGATCTCATCCACTGCCCAAAACACAAACCAGGAGTCAGCCTGCAGCTGGGGAACATCTAAGTGGACTTCAGGTACTACCAGTGAGATCAAGGTTCCCATGAAATAGCTGCAGCAGACAATAGCACCAGTCAGCAACCCCTCCATACTGTGAGAGTCTGGCTGGCTGTACTTTGGAAAGGAAAGAAAGCACATGGTTTTGACACTGAAAAGCAAAAAGGTCATTTTTTCAAAAACACAGCCAGAGATTTTAGATCTCAACTTCTGCTTCTCTTGCAGGCCAGCCCCTTGTGTCTCAGGGAAGTCAGAGTACACGACTTGATGAAAGGCAATTCTCTCATGACCTCAGATAAAGGTTTCCTATTCTTCTTTTGGCTACGGTCCAGAAAACCAGATTTTTCCACACTGAAACTTCAATTCCCCATTCACCTAGAAAAACTTTCCATCCCTTAGACAGAAATGCATCAATGTCAAGGTTAAAAGCACTCCCTCTGAGATTAAACTGTGACACAGGCTATGGAGAATGCACATAACTGTGTGATCCATCCCATTTCAGAAGATAAGACACTTCAGATTGTGCTTCTTCAGCCACAACTCCAGAGATTTAATCTAGTATTTAAACCACAGAGTAGCAAACAAAATAAACTCTCTATGTAGACCTTTTCTGAGGGCTGAATAACACACAAAAATCTGCTTCAATTCTATCTCATTGTGTAAACGATCAAGGATACAAGAGGAAAAAAGTAAGTTTAAATTGATTCAACACTAAATAATTATACCCAAAAAATGTCACCTACTTTCTTTTCTGTCTTTTCCTCTTTAAGAGGATATTCTTTCATAAGAGTTAGTATTGTCTGATTTTCTTTCTGAAGTAAGATTGGTCATCTTCCTCCTAGGTAATTTTTTATCTAGTTTCTCTGTTTCAAAAATCTAGCAGAAAATCATCTACCTGCCAAAAATGAGGTGCCCCAAAACCACCCTAAAGCTGACACAGCTTATGCTTTTGTACTTCTTTGCCTGACACACAGACACTTGCAGGTGCAAAGCATAGAAGACTTGTCAAGAGAAATTTAATGGAATAAGGTACTCCCCAACCTCTGAGCTTACTCCTTTATTTACGTTTTTTATAAATGAGTCACAAGTGCATGGTCACTGCTAGGAACCTGTTCTCCTTTAATGCAGGAACAAAAGTGCAAACGTTTAAGTAGGAGACAAATATTTTACCTGCTGGTTCATCCAGAATGCCTCCCTCTCCTGACTTATGGTACACTGTAGAAGGATAGGTTACTGTCAGCTTGCTGTTATGCTCCTTTCTCACCAGTGATCTCCTGGATCTTAAAGGTAAAAAAAAAAAATCAAACAGGAAAGGCAGACAAAAGTTAATAGAAGTACAATATTTAACTTCACACTAGCTATTTACTTCCTCATGTAGTTAAACTTACTTGCAGTTTGGGCATTTCTTTGAACCCATATGTGCTTTCCAGAACTGTGCTATCAGATTATTTCGACAGCCACATACATTTTTGACCTGATAAAGAAAAAAAAAACCCAACATAAAATAATGAAAATAGTAAAATTAAATGAAAGTAATAAAATTATTCATTAAAAATTATACTGTTAACATTTACTATCAACAGGGATGTTATTAGTATCAATGCACACACACCCTTGTACTGATTTAATTCATGCCTTACGTTCATCATCATCTCATATTTGCTGGAAATATACACCCCTCAGTGCTCACCACCCTCCTTTTTAAATTTATTTCATAGCTATAATTCAAAGCTTTTCTCTAATGATGACTTAAGAAGGTAGAAGAACAATAAAAATCACTTCTTTTGACTGCTCATGAATGTGTGATCTACCAAGTGCTTAAGCTTAGATTTGGAACAAGTGATTAGGAATTAAACTTGGCTTATAAACAAATCTGCTCAAAGATCTTAAAAGTTTAAGTATATTCTTCATTCATATTTGTCTTTACTAACAACGTACATTAAACTACATTTAAATGGAAATTAGAATTCTAGATTCTTTCTAAATTCTAAAGTCTTTCTAAAAATTTCACTGTAAGCAATTCTGCAAGTTTGCTGGATGCATGAGTTCTCAAAATATGTTCTGCAGCTCAAAATAGCTGGAGCATCATACAGAGAAGTATCAAAAGTGTAAGTAATATACTGACAGCAGTATCAGACTTTTATGTGGTATTTACACCATCAACGTATTTCCCTACAAAAAAAAAAATACTGTTTTCCACAAACCTAGCAGTTATGCTAACAGGAAATAAAATCTTTTTTTTAATGTTTAATTTCACTCAAAAAGCCATCTAAACGTAACACAGTTCAGAACTCCAGGACAAGATCCAGCACCTACACAGTCAAAGACAGGCTCTCTTCTGCACATTACTATTTTAAGAGCACAAACCCCGAGAGCTCAGAAGAAGCACTGATTGTACTTACATTTGAACACTGATCTCTTGTTTGAGAGCTCTGTAATATTTCCTGAACGTGGCGATTAAGCTCCTCTTCAATTTCTGAACCTGTTGCGTCTGCACATTGCTCTAAAAACTAAAAGGAACAGAGTAACAGAAACGGGCACAGCTTTATAGTTATGGGACTAAGAACTCCAAGAGGGATGGAGCAATACACAGTACTTGCCCTGTTCAGAATGACTTCAAGGTCATAGACAGCATGAAGAAACCCCTTCTCCAGCACCTTCAGCTGACTCAGCAGTAAGTGAACCACGGCTCGAGTGCATGTCAGCATGTGACAGTTCAAACAAGAACCTCGGATCAGAAGGTATAATTTCTGGAAAGAAAAGGGGAACAAAAGGTTATCCTGGTAGATTTACTAACCAGCACAATAAGCAAGTTGATAGATTTGTTTGGAATTAAAGACAGTGCTACTATAATTGAGAAATTAGACTAATTGTTAATCATAAAGAATTGGACTGGGGAAAAAAGAATCTTTCAACCACACAAACTGATATGCAAAGCATGATCTGTAGATAAACTACTTGCAGGGCACCTACATAACAGATACATGAAACACCTGTCATTTCTACAGCAGGTCTGGGACCAAGGCTGCTCTTAGACAGCACAGTGACTACAGCTCCTCACAGCTCATCCCAAAAAGGACAACGTGGTACCCAGAACCCCACACTAGTAAAATGAAACATTCTGGTCACAAGTACCATCAGTGTCCTTCAAGATTCTTCACACAATCACATTCTCCTCAAGATCTGGGGAATTATCAGTGGTTTTTATTATTTAACATAGCTCTGCACAGAGCCCCAGTGGCCTCAAGGCTTTGAATTACTGCTGCAGGTCAAATCCTTGGTCAAATACAAGTATTTTACTCACAAGCTGGAACAAGACTAGAAGTGGGATGTACCTAATCTAACTTCAAAGTGTGGTTTTTTACTCTCAGTTAATGCCCTGTGCAGAAGGCAGTAAATGGTGAGACCAGAACCTCAGGAAATTCATCCCAGCTCAGGTTTGTTACAGACTGGATGAATATCCCTCTGCAAATAGCCCCACTCCTCAGAGTCCAGAAAGAGCTAAAAAGTACAATCAGATTATGCATCTAACTTTCAGAAGACCAAAATAAGGCAAATCCTACCCTTACAACCCAGGATTCTGTTTATATTTAAGAGATGACCTTTCGGAAAAACACCTACATGAAGCACTCGTGAGAAAGTGCAGCTTGATCATTCCCTGTAGCTTTCAAAACAAGCTTCTAACACCTGTCCCCACAGATGCACACCAAGTCAAACCTCTGCTCTACAACAGGCATCCCACACACCACGCAAATGCAACACCTGTAAAACTATAAGAAATATCTTCTTGACAGCCTTTATTTTAAATTAAAAATACTGATGGATTTCTACACAGCTCAGTATTTTTCAACTATCTGCTGCCACCAAACTTACAATGCTGTTTTCTTTCCTTTACTTGGCACACCATTGTGTCACAGCTTATTACTGGATAGGTTGTTGAGTTCTATCCACATTGATCCAGTTTTCTACAATAAGTCATCTGAATTAAGAGGGCCTACTGGGCAGAATGTACAGCACAACTATTTGGAGCAAAAACGAGCCCTGAATGCCCAGGAAACACCTGGAGAACCTAAGCTAAAAGAAGTTCATGTGTAGTAGTTTTAAGTAAATGGTAATTTTTACTGTGTCATCCATTTAATTAAGGCATGAGACCCTGCAGTGAGTGATCAACACTCCCCCTCACTCAATACTGAGTAAAATAATAGTTACACCAAAGTGTGTATTTTCCAAAAGGTCTATTCGTATTTAACTACTATGACACAACAAACCTTTTCTACTACATTTGCTGTTATTACACTTGGGAGAGAAAACAGATCTTGGCACCTTTGCTATTCCCAAGGACTACAACTCTGTGACAGCTTGGGCAGCAGCAAGACAACAATTAATCGTACGTACATCGAAGAACAGGGGGTTGTAGACAGTCAGAGGCAGCTCTATGTGGCCAAAATGACCAGGGCAGTTGCTGAAGTTCTGCATGCAAGTTGCACACACTTCCTTGGAGTCCGGAGGTCCCAGAGCCAAGTCGTACAGTCCATTGGCAGCCGGATTCCCCAAGTTATCCAGGTACTGAGGGTTCGTTATGGGTTTGACACTCAGTTTCCTGAAGTTGAAAGCAAAGAGTAAAAATCAGCAGCAGCAAACGGCCACATGATGTGTCCTTTAATGGTACAGCTAGCATGAGCATTTAGTATCTGTGTGGGTTTTTTTAATTCACGAAAACATCTTTTTGAGGGCACTTTGCACATGGGGAGCTTCTGCATCACTGATTCCATCGTCTGGGCACACTTAACTCATACCGCAGCAAATATTTCTTTTAAATCTTTAGCCGTTCTATTAAGAAGTCGCGTAATATTAAGAAGTCACGCATTTAGCAGCTGTATGATTTTTTTCGTTGATGAAAACATCTTTTTGAGGTGTGCATGCAAGGGGAATTTCTGTATCACTGATTCCATCGTCTGAGCACAATCATTCACACTGCAACAAATATTTCTTTCACATCTTTAGCCATTCTATTAAAAAGTCACGTAATTTTGTCTGTGTGTGTCCCCTCGAGCTGCGGGAGAGTTTGTAGAAAACTCAGCTGCCTCCACCCCGGGGGCCGGTGTGGGCCACGGCTCAGCCGGACCACATGTCCCAGCACGCCCCGCGCCAAAGCCCGCAGCGGCTCACCGGCGTCCCGCCGCGGGGCACGCTGGGACTTGTAGTCCTCAGCACATCCGCACGGCGGGGGACGCACACACATGGCGCCTCACCTGATCTCCTCGGCCGTGTACATCCCGAAGGACACCCCAACCAGCCGCCGCCACGGCACCACTTTGGGCGGCTTCATGGCGAACCAGCGACTCTTTCCCCGGCCGACACCTCGTCCCGCTCTCCCGCCGGGGGTGCCGCGCCACTGGCAGCACCACGCGCTCCGAGCCGCGGGGGAGGCGGGGCCGGGCGGCACCACTGCCGTGCAGTGGCGGTACCGCCCACACCCCCCCGGCGCGGGAGTGGTGCCGCCCCGCTCCCAGAGGGCAGCGCGCGGGGGCAGCATGGCGGCGCGGCGGGTCGGAGCCGGCTGCTGGCAGCGGGCCCTGTGGCTGAGCCGGCGGGGCCGCCTCCTGGGCGGGCGGGAGAGCTACCGGTGAGGGTCTGCCGGGAGGGAACGGCCGGGCGGCGGCGGCATCGGGGAGGAATCGAGAGGCGGGGGGTGACGGCGGTGTGGGGAGTGAGGCGGGAAAGGCTGCGCAGGCGCAGTGCCGGCGTTCGCAGTCCGCATGCGCGGTGGCGCCTGGGGCCGGCATGGCTGGGGCGGCGTGAGGGGAGCGACTTCCCTGGGGCTCTTCTCTGCCTTCAGTCGCCTTTCCTGGGACTCTTCCCTACCTTTAGACGGCTCAGAGCAGGTCTGGCACAGAGTTTTAGCTGTTAACCGTTTCCTAGAGCTGAGTCTTGCGAAAAAGCAGGTGAACTCGTCCCCTACGGAGACAGGCTGAGGAAATTTGGACTGTTCAGCCTGGAGAAAAGAATGTTGACTGGAGACCTCGTAGCAACCTTCCAGTACCTGGAGAAGCTGTAGAGGGCACTCTTTGTCGGGGACTGTAGTGATAGGACAAGGAGTAATGGGTATAAATTGAAAGAGGGGAAATTGAGATTCTTTGCTGTGAGAGCGGTGAGGCACTGGAACAGGTTCCACAGAGAAGCTGTGGATTCCCCATCCCTGAAAGTGTCCAAGGGCAGAAAGCAGCCTGGTCTGTGGAAGGTGTCCCTGCCCATGGCATAGGGGTTGGAACTGGATGAGCTTTAAGATCCATTCCAACCCTTAACATCCTATGATTCTGTGAAATTGGGAGGTTTTGTTCGGGCGTGCCTTAAATGAAAAGGCCTCACTCCACTGGGTGCTCTGTAGGCGAAATATAACTCACATCTGGGGTGGCAAAATCACAGTCAGTTTATGGGATTTCCGTGAGCAGCTGGAATTATGCCACTGTGCAGCACAGAACTGTGAATGCACTTTAACAGCACCTCTCTGGGCCAAGGTCAGAGTGCAGGCACTGAGTGCCAGAGTTGCACCAAGGCTTTGGTGTTGGGTTGCTTCATGAGGAAAAAGAGTAAAAGTATTTTAATAAAAGCCTTAGTTTATGTTAAAAGCACTCGAATGTGAACAGTTGTAAGAAAGACTCAGAGCAGTGCTTTGTGATAGACAGAACTGAGTTTATATTAATATGCCTCATGCAGTTGGGGTTTGTGTGGTTATGCAGCTCTGTAGAGCTGAACAGGGCTGATTACTCTGCATCACAACTCAGGGCCTTCTGCTTGTGTAAGTAGTACCCAGGTCTAAAGTATTTTTTAAAAAATACTTTGAATCTGCTTTCAGTAAGATCCTGCCTCTGAAACACAAAGTGTCATTCCTGATTGATGTTCAGGATTTTCTTTCTAAGGTGCACTCGTTGTACAGAATTCGATTAATCTGCTTTTGTCTTATTATTGTGATTGCCATCAATTCAAAACTGATTGTTTTCTAGGTGCTCTTCGAGCAGCACAGCTCTTGAGAAGGCTGTGGACAATTCAGAAGGTGAGATGTCTTCATTGCTAGTTCCTTGCATATGTTTTTTTTAATCTCCAAAACAACACAGTGTGTCAGGAAATAAAGAGGACGGGAATGCCCCCCTTCCTCTGCTTGGATTTCCTTTCTCCCTGTCTTCACTGTGATTTGAGTAATTTGGTTCCTCACCTCATCACCAGGCAGCTCTCTGCTCCAAGAGCATGAACACAAGACCCTTAAGCTGCCTGCCAGCCTTTGCTACCACCGTTGCAATAAATTGTGGCCTACATGAGACTGAGGTTTCCAGCTGGATCAGCTCAAAACATTGATTCTCATAGAATTATTTAGGTTGGAAAAGACCTGTAAGATCATTGAGCCCAGCATTTAACCCAGCACTGCCGAGGCCACCACTAAACCATGTCCTCAGGTGCCACATCTGCACATCTTTTAAATCCCTCTGGGGGTGGTGACTCCACCACTGCCCTGGGCAGCCTGTTCCAGTGCCTGGCAAGCCTTTCAGTGAAGAAATTTTTCCTAATATCCAACGTAAACCTCCCCATGTCCAACTTGAAGCCATTTCCTCTTGTCCTGCCACTTGTTACTTGGGAGAAGAGATTGACACCCACAGCAAATGAGGTCAGGATTTCCCTTGGGCATCTGTTTGTTTCTAATGAGCATTTTAATATTGTTTCTCATAGTAACTCAAGAAGAAATTGTGCTCCCTCGAAGGAAAACATGGTGAGTCTTTACTTTTGGAATATCTCTTGACTTGGAAGCAAACAGCTGTTAGACAGCTAAGTGTAAATTTAAAAAACAGAAAATTCAGATTCCTGTGTTCCTCGATGCCAAGTCCCACCAGTGGTTTTCCTGCTGACTGGGAACTCTAGGAATATTCTTGACTCTTACTCTCTGTGCAGCCTGTGTGTGCTCCCTTCCTCACCTAAACACTTCCATTGGCCTTTCCTTGTTTGCTTAAAAGAACCAAAGTCTTAAGGATCTACAGTTTTGTGTTGTTTTATTTTTCTTGCAAAGACGTATCTTGGAGAGGGCTCTTGAGAGGAGCATTCTGGGGAATTCTTTGTGTGTCTCTTCCCTATGTTTTTTTTTGATAATGTATTACAAGGGCAGGAGTCGTAGCAGGAAACACAGATGCTCTTCTGGTTTTCCTCGAAATCTTTTCTTTTTCCTGGGGTGGTTCCAGAACTGAGACCATTTTTGCAGTTGAATTTTTCCTCCCTTTGCAAAAGGTGTTATTTTCTAAGGGCAGCAAAAGCATTATTTCCTAGAACTGAAAATTGTTATGGGTCAAGACAATCCTGTGCTCGTTCTCCGTACAGTGTAACCCATAGCATTCCAAGTCTGCAGCTGAGTATTAACCAAAGCTCCTCTGTGTTTAGGGATAAGCTGGCAGTGCTCCAGACCTTGGCTTCCACTGTGAACAGGGTGAGTAGTACTGTTGGTCATGGAAATAGGTTCAGGTTGTCCATCTCATGCAATAGCCTTGTGCTGAGGAGGCTCTTAATTTCTACTCTGGCCATAAATGATAGAAGGGACTTTTACATCCGGCTTTTATGGGATTTTCAGTTTTGCTCCACATGTTTTCCTGTGTCCTTAAAGCCTCATTCTCATGCTGAGAGCTGCAGTTACCAGTGAAAGCTGCAGTACTTTAATAAGACTTTTGTTAACATCAGGAGCAAGTTCCTTTACTGGTTCAGCCTCCCAATCCAGAATGTCTCTTCCCAATCTCAGTCCAGAAAGCAAGCCTTGCAAAGTGCAGTGAGTGTCTGCTCTTGCTGGGCAACAGCTGGAAATGCTGTGATGCCATTCTTTAATCTTGTCTATCTTGACTTCTGGGAATTGAATCAAAACCTGCAGGTCTTCTCAGCTTCCCAAGGCTGTTACAGCTGGGGTCCTACTTGATTTGCAGAGCACTTGATGCTTGCCATGTTATAGTTTTGTTGTCACCATGTTAGCCTGCATGTGTGTGTAAAATGGAAATACTTTAAAACTATTTCCAAACAGATTAGGCCTTTTTGAATACGGGGAACTTCTGTAAGATGTGCATCAGGTGGTGGTTATGGTGGAAGTATTTATTGTGCCTTAAATTCCATGAGGCCTGTGAACATAACTGGAAGTCTTTCAGTCCTGGGTTCTTCTTCCTACAGGACCCCACTGCTGCTCATTATATATTCCAAGATGACCCTTTCCTTATGCCAAGAAATGCAGCCAATTCTGTAAGTATCTCCTTTCAGATCGTTGATAACTTTCCCCCCCACCTTTGTCTAGGCTATGAAGACTCTTATCTAATTGGAGCCTGGGTTTGATTACAAAAGAAAATGGAAGTGTCAGATTTTTTCTTCAGAATTTTCTCTCTAAAATGAGAGATGCTTTTGAGCTTGAGGTAGTAGTACAGGATTTGAGATGTGTGATATAGAACTGTGTCTCTTGACTAAGCAACAAAGAAGTACAGTGACATTTAAGGAACAGACATACTCACATAAATACCAGAATGTTTACCTTGAATACTGTCTCGTGCCTGTGATTTTAATAAGTTGAAAACAAAGCATGAGTTTAATTTGATCCCATCAGAATGTTCAGTTACAGAAAATGTTTCTCCTCACTCTTGGCCTTGTAATTTGTGTTTATTAATGTCATTCTCTAATTTCTCTGCAGCGTCTGTATTCGTTGTCAAAGGAGTCCGGGAGAAATGCTGCAAAATACATCATTAAGAACTTCCCTCAGTATTTTGACAAGACTTTTGCAGAGCCCAATGTACCAGTAAGCTTTTTGCTTTTAATTTTCATTGTATTTGTGCTTTGTCAGTGAATTCAGGTGTCATACTGGTCCAAAGCTAACATAAAAGGATGATTTTGTAAACTGGTTTGCAGACTGCTATGAAAGCAGCACCGTGTTTCTGTTATGAAGTGAACATTTTTCCTTGGGAGTTCAATATCATATCAGGTTCTTGAGACAAAAGTAAGAAGAGCAAAGTTGTTTAGATGGCACAGAAGTGAGGGATGAGGATGTGTGTGGTCCTTCATCAGCAAAAGGACTACTGTTGTTAGGCTGCAAAGTGTATTGGGTGAAGACTAAGGATATTTGGTTAGTGTTTAAGTGATAGTTCAGGCAAGGTTTGAGCTCATGACTAACTTTCACTCTTTGCTTTCAGTGCTTGATGCCTGAGACTCTTACACCTCAGATTGAAGGAGTGAGTGAGGAAGCTCTGAAGGAGTGTATCCGCCTCAGAAGGGTGAAAGAGTCTGTGGACATGTTCGATCAGCTTGTACAAGCAGGTATGTGGTCACCTGCCAGATTCTGCAGTAGAGCTCTGCTTAAATTGTGCCAAAAATATTTTAGTAGCTGTCACAGGCTGTGGGGACAGTTTTGTGACTGTGTTTCTGCCTTTCACAACC